AGGATACCCGGACTATATCAAGCCGAAGGCCTTCCGGACTCGCAAGAAGTCCATACCGGAGGGTGAGAACGGCACCAACGTCGGCAGGAAGATGGCGATACTCGGTAATGTGGCCCAGCCTACGACGGCGATAGCTAGAAGTTGGGTGATCATAGACAGTGAGAGTATCATATACCTCATGTCTGCCGGATCCCTGGGTCCCTCGAGCCTGAGATGCGGCTGTTGGGGGTGGACCGGGAGAAACCGTTGAAGTCTGCATGACGGGGTTAGGATGGGTGGATGCTCCTCGACTCTGAGATGGGCCTGCCGAGGACAATTCGAGAGAACCAGCCGAGGGAGTGTGTCCGCGAGATGCAGCGGCGGCTTGGGGAGCGGGCCGCCCTGCTGGGGACGACTCGAGCGAACCAACCGAAGGAGGGAGTCCACGAGGTGCAGTGGGGGGTCGGGGAGGGAGCCGTCCTGCCGGGGACGACTTGAGCGAACCAACCGAAGGAGGGAGTCCACGAGGTGCAGCGGGGGGAGGGCGCGGATCAGATGCACCAGCAGTTGGTGGGATGGCTCCTCGATCAACGTGCTGAGTGTATCCGCGATAGTCAGTGGCGACTTGGGGAGCGGGCAGGTCAGGGGCACCAGCAGTTGGTGGACCCGTGTTCCGAGCGACCACAACATCATCCCCACCCCATTCATCGCCAAAAAACTCTTCATCCGATTCATCCAACAATTCATACCCCCTCGCAGTCACCGGCTTCGGATCAATTGCGTCGTAGACATCCCATTCGTTGTTGATAGGATCGAACGCCAATCTGGACCTATCCAAGGACTCCCAGTACTCCTCCGTAACGTCACTGCGCATTACCACTTGGCGAAGGTGTACAGGCTTTACTTCGTCAATGATGACCCATTCGTAAACCTTGGCCTTTGCGGGGAACGGGAAGGTCTTGCTGTTGGCTTCCCTCGACCTCCATTGCTGCAACTCCCTACTGCTAGCAGAGGTGAAGCGCCTCGTTCGCTCCTCGTCCCGCCTTGCCATGAATTCCCAAAACGTTTCACCCTCGTACTGGCCACCACTTCCTGGTATCTTCTGCCTGACCACACATCTGGCAGATGAAGATGTGGTGCCTGCATGCGGGGCATCACCACTGGACAAAAGACTCCTGAGTTGCGGAGGTGGAAGCGTGGAGTCTCCAGGGACACCTGGTGTAGCCCTGCGCATCCTTTCCACCATTTCGACAGTTGGACAATAGGGCCACAACTCGGGGGCAGTGGTCGTATTCCACTGGGTCCGAGCAAAATTCGCATAAGAACCCCAGTAGAAGAAAAGTGGTACGTCTGCATACGCCATCACTGGGAACTCGTCCCACCACTGATGCTTTCGTACGATAACCAGCCCCGCGCGGGAAGGGCCTGGGGCAGACATGAGCGCAGATGCAAATAGGGTATCTACCCAATCAGGTGGCAAGACAGTTGCCGCAATCTCATAGGCCTTGGGTGGTATATATCCTGGTCGGTATTGCACGGTATCCCGCTTATATTCAAGTCTAGCTGCCATGTAACTAACATAGGCTGCGAGCGGGACAAAAGCATCGCGGCAACGGATAACGCGCCATCCACACTTTTTCCCTCGAAATGGCTCTCGTAGACCAAATTCAGTGGGGAGCCGGAAAGGTTTGAGGAGGAGGGAGTGGAGGGATAGTCGAGTGGCAAACAGCCGAGCCAGCTCAACAAGCCTCTCCTCGAGTTCCGTCCACTTTTTCAGTAGGCTTTCCTGTAGATGCCACCCTCCCGGACCTTTGACGAGCGGTACAGAGGCCTTGGTTACATCCAGGCATTCGAATGGCCCATCCCACTTGATGAAAGGGGTTCGCACAACCCAAGCTTGCCACGGAGTTGAGTCTTCAGCCCATGACGTTTCCCGGGTGTCTCGAGGCTCCTTTTCATAAACATAGATACTTATATCGTTGGGGAGAGTTTGACGGTTGGGCGAGCTATATACACGGGTTTGCGTGTCTATTATAACGTATGTGCATTTGGAATGAGGTCTGTACGACGCATAAGCGCATGATCAGCATAAACTGAGTGTGGACACATACTCTGACGACATGACCACAAATTGATTGATCTGACTAGGCAGACGTGTATCCTTGGACAAAGGCCTGACTGGAGGGTCTGACTGAAGAGAGAGCGCTGGGATGCAGCAGTGAAATAGGTGGTCGATATTGCACGGTGAACGGAGCACCGCACAGAATAGGTTCAGGGAAATCCTTGGACGGTGTCGCAAGGATCAGGGCAGCTGCGGATACTGCCAGCAAAACACGTATCCTTCGTTGTGGTAGCGAAGCTGGTGTGGCGAGGCGAAGGCAGCTATGCAATAGCAACAGACCAATCCTCGGACAAAGTCGCAAGGATCAGTATAGAGAAGAAAGCTCGAATCCTAGGACAACGTCGCAAGGATTCGTAGAGAACAAAGCGGGAAAGGACGATCGCTGAACAGCGGATTGCGGTGGCTGTACTCGTGAGAATTGCCATGCAGCGGCTTCTCTACTGATACCGCGGCTTGACCGCGGCTTCATACATATACTCGCGTGGAGGCACAGCCACCCAAAAGCTGATATCACGCGCGTTGTCCCCTCTTTCTCCTCAAACTAATCCTTGCGACACTGTCCGAGGATTGGTCTCTATCTCTTCGTCATCCTTGCGACATCGTCCAAGGACTGATTTCATGATCCTTGCGACACAGTCCAAGGATTGTCCTACTTTCCTCACACTTCCCTACGCCGGTTCTGGCCTTTGCCGCCTCTCATTTGCATCATGCCTCTGAGCCTGCTGGCCGCTCCTCCGGCTCATGCGCACCATCCTGCCCGCTCAAACTTGTAGTCGCCTGCGATAATAGCCTCCACAGCGATCCTCCTCTTCCAGTTGAATACGGAACTCGGTCTCAGGTCCCCTGCCATTGATCTTACTGTCATCGCTCGTGTATTCTACTGTTGTCCTCTTTCGACTTGTCCTATGTACACCTAGGCAACACATAATGTACTGATTCTGAAGTTTGATGGACCATTGGAAAGGGGATACTCTAATATGGCCGTGGCAGACTTGTACGCCATCCTAATCTTCTGCAAGTCAGATGCCCTATACAGGGTCATCCATACGTAAGGGGAAATCATGGACAGGGTATGTTTGCGCAGTATATACATACATCATTGTAGTATATTACTTAACCCGACGCTAAAACCATCCATTGGAAGTCCTCATTGGAAGGACTGAACTTCTCCTTGCGCAATACTCCATGCTGTGGATCGTCGAGCCACTGCGAATCATAGAAGCTTGAAGGAAGTCCTGCAAGTGGCTGTCGCTGGGTCGTCCCACATGGGCCCCCGCGAAACCTGGGTGCTGGTTTGGAGCCACGACTGTCCTTGATACCATCGGCGTCCCGCTGATCATCGATGATCTTCAACTCCCTCTCGATATTTCGCCGCCAAGGCATGCGACGGACGCGATATCCGTTCGTCTCATCATCCGTATCATCCGAGCTGGTACCATCCTCCCCGTACCGTTCTATGATCGACTTTAGGTACGTCCAGAACGGGACGTCCTGTTCATTTCTCTCGGACTTCAGGATGATAGTTTGATCGATGGTAGACAGTCTTGTCTTGTATTTCTGCGTATATAGTATCGTGAATATAGACTCCACCATGCGATGGAACGTGCGTACCCCACGACGCCGGGTGTTTACCCGCGCTTTCTTATGGATACCTCCGTATTTGTCCTGCAGGCGGGTACGATGTTCGTCCTGAGTCTCGACTGTACCGTCTCTGTCACGCTTGGGCTGTACTGACCACCACTCAGCGCGAAGGTGGTCAACCCTATTCGTCAGCATGAACTTGACATACCAATCAGGCCGCGCCTCCATGGGAACACGTCTTTCTAGTCGCTGTTGGCATAGATCACGGGCCTTTTCTATGAGGATCTCGACCAGCCGTTGGTTCCAACGGGAATCCTTGACTGCAGCCCCCATATCAATGTATAAGTTGTTGGCATCAGGGCCGTCGGGACCCCCATCATTGTATGCATCCACTGCCAGTGGGTCGGCTCGGGGACGAAGAGCAATGTCGCTATCTGTCTTGATATCAAAAGACTTGCGGACAGCCTCTCTGCAAAGGTCCTGAAAATGCCCCAATCCGTTAGATGACGCTGAGTTACATACGGGTCATACGGCATACCAGGTAGTCCTTATGTGCCTCCGGATTCTTCTCCTTCAGTTTGTTGTACTCTTCCTTTGTCTCAGTCAAAGCGCTGGCCCGCTTGCGCCGAGGGGTTCTTTGCGGTCGATAGTTTACTGTCCGTGATGAACCGGGCGAAGCAGAAGTGAACTGTTCCAGGACGTCCTCGAGAGCCTCCTCAAGAGCCTGATCTGTTCGTCTCTTGAGCTCTGCTGCCAATGTCGAAAGGTCTAGTGGTGGAGCAGGTGGAGCAGCGGTTGTCGAAGCCTGAGGCGCAGGATGCTCTGACTCCTGCACGACATGCCATTTCAGACGACGACAACAATGTATCCCACTGAGCACGTACACTTCCAGAATTGAGAGCATGAAGGGTCTGCCAGACGCCCTTCTTCTTCCTGCCATTGTGGCGAAGGTTGCGAAGTTCTTTCTCGGTTAACTGATACCCTCCAGAAGAAGTCGTGGGGGAAGAGGGAGCCCTATGACCAGAGCCAGCGGGGCTAGCTTCTGTTTCGGCAGAACCAGGCTCCCCTCGAGGAGCTGAAGTACCAGCGCTAAGCGATCCATGTATCTTAGCCATGAGTTGCGCAAGTTCAGACTGCCTCTTTGCCTATCGTACAGTAAGTACATGATCATGAGAATGAAGTGGTGCGGCACCGTACCTCCAACTCGGCAAGCTCACGCTGCCTACGTGCCTGCAGTGGTGTGAGGAAATGATGTGCCAGTGAAGAGGGGGCCTTACCTCCGATTCGTCAAGTGCGGCCTGCATCACCTGGAGCTTGTCAAGCTCGCGCTGACTTCGTGCCTGCATTCAAATGAGACTTGGGGTATCAGCACAATAGATTAGGCGTACTTCTGCTTCAACCAGTGCTGACTTCATCGCTTGCATCTACCAATGGACGCATAAGTATGGCCTTGAAGATTCGCGTTAATTACAGGCTTACCTGCGCTGCGGCTGCGTTCTCGGCCTCCTGCCGTGTTTTTATAAACTTCAGAGATGTAATGTCAGGACATAACCGCTTCCCTAGTCGTGATAAACCTTACCTTCATCATCTCAGACATATGATTCTGGCTTTCTGCCATTTCTCGCTTCCAAGCCTCTTGTTCAAGACGCGCCCGATCCCTCTCTTCACGTACCATAGCAATCAGCTCTTCCCTGTCTCTCTATTAACCCCAGTTGTTGGAAGTCAGCACTGCTAATGACCTGCGGTACACGAGAATTCGCACCTTTGCCTTCTCCTGTTCCTGCCGCAGTTGAGCATGGGCCTTCTCCATCTCCATGCGGTATGTGGCAGAGAAGTCCGCCTCCTGCACCCTCACTCGCACACTAGACGTTGATGCTGGCTGTGGGGTTGGCGTATCATCTAGTCGTCGTTTGTACTTTGCTGCATTCGACGGCTGCTGCTCCACCGGCGGTCCAGATGTTGGTGTATTCGACGACGGCTGTCCGGGAGGCGGTACAGACTTCGATATATTCAACTGTGGCTGCACGGCCGGTGGTACGGACTTGGGTACATTCGACGGCTGGCCCGCAGGTCGTACAGACTTGGGTACATTCGACGGCGGCTGCCCGGGAGGTGGTACAGACTTTGGTATATTCGA